GCTTTGAGCAGGGGGTTGGACTAGATGACCTCCTAAGGTCCCTTCCAACCCTGAGATTCTATGATTCTATGATTCGTTCCCCATGTAGATACTGATAGACTAATCAAGTCACCCCTTAATCTTCTCTTTGTTAAGCTTAATAGATGGAGCTCTTTGAGTCTATCCCTATAAGGCATATTTTCCAATCCTTTAATCATTCTCATGGCTCTTCTATCAACCTCTCCAACTTATCAACATCCGTCTTGAATTGTGGTCACCAGAACTGGACACAGGATTCCAGCAGTAGTAAAATAAACCTCTCTACTCCTACTTGAGATCCCCATTTATCCACCCAAGGATCGCGTTAGCCCTTTTGGTCACAGCATCACAGAGGAAGGGCGTGGGTGGTGTCGGCCCAGGGAGCCCTGCTTCCTGGTAAGCTCACTAAAGAGGCTAAGCACTGAATGAGCATGACTGATAAACTCTTGCCCTGGGTATGGCTGAGGCATGGGGGCATGGGTCAACAGGGACTGCGCTGCCTGCTCTCTGGGTAAATCAAGGGTCCTGTCTCCCGTGCTGCTGGCTTGGCACCTCCCACCGGCACTACATTAATTTGCATGTTTAGAATTGTGATTGTTTGATTGACTGGGGCCAATTAAATTCAGACTCAGCGGCATGAGTGACCTGGGCTGGCTGCAGCTGCTAATCCATTTAGTTCTTGTAAACATAAAAAATAACTTGGAAAGAAGAGAGAGGAGATTCCACTGCCCTCCCTTTCCCTCCCAGCTCTGCCTGGCCTCCTGCTGTCCCCTCTCCCCCCAGTCCTCTGTACCTCAGGGGCAATTCTGCCCTGCCAGCTGCGTAAAGTGAACTCTGCTGCTGGAGCCAGAGCCGGAATTCCTGCAGGGGCCTACCTGGGATGCACATGGCAGCCACAGTGGTGCCCTTGGAAAGGGTGCAACATGATTCATGGCCCCGCAGCTCAGCACAGAGGGACATGCCACCCCACCCCACCCACCAAGGGACTCTGCACTGGTCTGTGTCTGCTTCCAGTGCAGCCAGCAGTAGAGTGCCCATTTTGCACTCCCCTTAGCACCGACGCAGTTAGGGATCTGGCCAGTCCCCGGGCGAGTGCATATCTCCTGTGTGGGGCAGTTTGGTGGCAGAACCAGCGTGCAACGGTGGAGATCTCTGTGCTCTCTTCCTCCACAGCAACTCGCTTGCATTCCCCTAGTGGTGCCTTTGCCTGCTACAGCCCAGTGGCATTCTAGCGCTCACTGCTCTCCATCATGTTGGGGTCTCGCCCCAGCACATGCAGAACCAAGTCCGAGCTTTTCCACGGCCTCCCATGCTTGGAGCTGTTCAGAGCGCCCGGGGACACCCAATGCAATGACGGGGTGGGGAGCCCACGTCTCCTGAACTCGCTCCTTGTTGCCAGCCTCCCAAGGGAGCGGATTGTGTTCAGATCAGTCTTCATCGCTGCCCGTGATGGATGTAGGAGAGCCATTCTTTAGGCTCCTTGCGTACGGCGTCTGAGTGCCTGTATCAGCACCTCCTGCTCGTATCAGCACCTCCTGCTCCAGCAAAGCTATCGCAGAAGGTGCTCCATGAACAACTTCAAGCCCCACTACGGAAGGGTCTCGGTAATGCAATGGAAATATACAGCTGTGCTTGCAAAAGACGCCTCTAGGGCTGATAACATAATGACGAGCTATTCTTACGTCGTGTCATTGAATAATACACATGACAAGAAGCACAGTGTGAGGGAGAGCTGACCTGTCTGAGCACATCCTGAGTTCTAATCCTGACACTGACTCCCTGTGGCTTTCTTGGGCAAGTTACCTAACCTGCCTGTACCTCAGGTCTCCCATCGGTAAAACAAGGATAAGTCTGCACAGAGCGGGTCATGAGAGCTAACTGTAATACATCTTAAGGATGAGGAGGGATTTTTTGGCTCCCTTCTGTCTCAGCAGATCTGTTGCCTGAGTGTATCTGAGTCCGAACTGCTGGCTTTACTGACCAAGATAGCTGTGTGCGTCTGTTAACTTTGCAGAACCCCCACACTAGAGGAGGCTGGAGGCTATTCTGGCCCAAGCATGAACAGAATTGCTCACTGAGGTCTAGTTGCAGAATCTGTTTCAATGAGAGAACCCAGCTTGACTCTCAGATCTGATCTTGGCAGTTGTCAACAGAGTGCGTTGGACCCAGAGACTGGGAGACATATGCTTCCTACGATGCCACTTGGACAGTCTCTTTGGATCAGACACCCCCCCCCCCCCAAGGTATGTTCTTATTACAGCTGTGCAGTCACTGCTGCAAGAGACCCAATAACCCCAAATAGCTCAGTTTTCAGATAAACCACAAGCACAAATATCTGGGATTAGTATGTGTTTGGCTTTTTTCCCTCATGGCCTTATTTTTTAATGGAAGTTGAATTAGGAGTTATTTATGGGATTGAATTAATGAAATCTGGTCTCCTCTGTGTATTTCCACCATCCAGGAATTGAGTTACTGTGCAAAGACTTCACATTATTTTGCCTCCATAAATGGCATCCCGAGACATTAAAAAAGCCTGGGCAAAATATAAGCCACCACTGCCCTTTCCGACCCTGGATTTTATAGAGTGAAACTGATTAACTTGCTGTTCCAGCCAGCCTCTACTCCAAAAAGGAAATGTGCAAACATGATCAGCATAAACAAAGGGAATAAAATTAACAGAGCATCACTTTGGCACCTATTTAGAAGACCTAACTGGTTGCAGTCTTGTGCAGGACCTCTGCAGGATGAGAACATTGTTCATGGAGCATATCTGCTGAGTAAGGAGGTGTTAGTCCTACAATCAACTATCTGCAGACTTACCCTGTAAAACCTGCCATTTTGTGAATGTATCCAGATCTCCACCTATCACAGTGATGCAGAATCATGTTCTTCACCCACAACATCTGTAGTGTGACTTTAAGGTCTATGAACCTCCTGTTGGTTGGTCCAAAAGCAGGGCTTGGCTCTCCCACTTAGAACCAAGCTGACCCTGGAAATTCCAGGCTAGGCAGCTAACCCAAGTCGGTGCAAGCAATTGAGGAATGCTGGGTTTATTCTACAGATCACCGGAGCAAGGAAAGGTTCAAGTAGTCCTGAGTAGCCTGGATTTAGAACAAAGTTTCCATGTTGCTGTCAATGATTCATTTGAGAGGAATCTGGACTTGATGGGCGAGATTTCTGGCAAGTGCTTGCACTGGGGATTTTAGGATAATATCAGAGCAAGGAAACGAAGACCAAAGCGAATCAAGTTGCATGAAAGCTCCTCAGTTCAGCTTTTGGGAGGAAGATGCACCACAGGAAAGCAGAGGCCGAAGAACAGCAGGAATATAAATAACTTCCAGTGGGGGTGTCCTTTCCTTCTGTGGCGTGTTCACAGCTCGCTTGCTGCAGAAGGCACCATTGTATTAGGGAGGTCTATAAATGCTCAGACTTTTTAGTGTTGCCAGCAAAAAGCCAGCCAAACAAAAACACAGGGAGAAAGTGATTTTTTTTTTTACGTGAACCTCAATAAAATATTTACAAATGGATTTTTGGGGGAGCAATAGCTGCATTTCGAACAAGGGCCTGGCCCATTTGAGCTTTTAACCCAACTCAATCATTCCCAAACAACCCCTCCACTTGACTCGCCCCCAACTTCCGGCTACATTTGCTTCCTACCTTGGAAAGAAACCTGTTAATATAGCTAAAGCATTAGGGGGAAAGACTGTAGATCCCATGGCCAGAAGGGACCATTGCACTCATCTAGTCTGACCCCGCCGTATAACACAGGCCAGAGACCTGCAGCACAGTAATTCCTAGAGCAGAGCTTTAGAAAGACATCCAGCCTTGCCTTAAAAACCAAGCGGGTAAGAGGTGTACATTACATGGTTATTGAGCATCCTGCTGCATTGACAGACTCAGCAGAAATAAATCAACAGGATTTTTCAGCAGGAGCAAATCTTTATCCGGGTAAATCAAAGCTATTTACCGTAAGCAAAGCCATCGGAACCCACAGATTCCCAAGCCTGGGGTTGTGCTGTGCTATGCCCCTGCCATTCTCCCCTCCAGGTTTGCCAGCACCAGCCTCTCTTATAAGCCGTCCCTGGAGCACATGGACATAGGAAGGAAAGAGGCAGCTGCAATTAACCCCCTGGGTACTGAGGATGAGGTAGAGCCCGGGGAGCCCCTCAGTGCCAGTTGGCAGAGGGCACTCCATGCCATAACTCACATCAGGCCTGAGACACTCATTGCCCCAACTCACTCTTGACACCTTTTAGAGACTGACAGTGACATCAAAGGTGTCATATGTGAACTGGCAACATGCTGGTCCTTAATATTATTGCGTGATGTATGTATGTATGTATAAAGAATTACAGATGTGTGCTGGAAATATGTTCTTGGCAATCTGTGCATAAGCCCAGCCTGCCCTAGACAAAGGAATGTTGTTTTGCCTACTTGACTGTGTCGCCACTGCAAACTGAGCCAAGGAGAGGCCAGAAACAATGGAAGTACATTTACATAGAAGGTAAACAAAGCCATCAAACTAGAAAACGGGGGAGATGACCACAATGCGGGAGGGGTGGAGGCTGTATCTCCAGGAAGCCTTCCTGCTTCTTGAAACAGAGGCCTTTGGGAAGCACAGGCAGAAGCAGAAAGCCATTTTAGCCTCCATCACCTGTGGGCCACAAGGGGCCAGAGCTCTTGAAGTCTGAGAAAGGTGGATCCTTCACCATTGGGGTTGAAGTCTCTGGGAACTGACTATAGGTGAGAAAGCTGCTAAGATGAAGATTGCAACATGCTGAAGTTAAGTTTGGTCACTAGAAAGCACATTTTGTTCAGAGCCTGTCGTCTCTCTCTTTTACTCTGTTCTTTGCTAATAAACTTATTCTTGTTTGATTACAGAACTAACTCTGTGCTGTTACACTGACATGAAGTGCGAGTCTTCAGCTAACCCAACAGAGGTGGTTGTGTGCCCTGTCTCTTTGGAGGCAGCAAACTTAACTTCCGGTGGAACAGACTGGACACTGCAGGGAGACAGCTCTGGGGAACGTGGGAATTGGGGTTCACTGTTTGGTACCTGCAAAGCAAGGTTTGGACTGGCAGAGTCTGGAGGCATTTGCTGCCCTGGCAGACAAGCTGGTGCGTCAGGGCCCTGGCACACAGCTTAGCTTAGCAGCCGGATCGCCCACTCTTGCTGCAGCAGAGCGGTAACACAGGGCTTACAGTTCTGGTGTCCTGAGCTGTTAACATGACGCCCTCTTCAGTGCTAGGCAAGGGATCTCCTAATCCATCAAGGGGTTGTGAGTGGCTGGGTAGGAGCAGGGCCAGGTCCTGTTTTCCCCCACCCCCTGCATCTGCTGATATCCAGAAATGGGGGGCAGGGGAGGAGACTGGGGGGCAGGGCAGTACTGCTTTCAGCAGCAGCTATGAGGAGCATCTACGCCCTTCTGCTTCTCCAAGCCCCCTTGCTCACTGCAGGAAGAATTACTTGGCTGTTGATAGCTGCACTCTCTCCACAGCCCATGCAGCTCAGCTCAGCATGGGAAGGGCAGAAAGACTGGCTCTAGACTCACCACCGCCACACTCCTGTGTCACGGATCCACAGGTCTGGTGCTCTCGGACAGCTCTGGAACAGTCCCTGGGAGACCCCTTCAGTGTGCCGGCCACTTTAGGGCCACATTCTTACCTCTTGGCTTCACCGCCTCCTGGGACTGAACCTCACAGCCCCCAGCACCCCTGCTTCACACAGAGCTCCCGTCAGTGAGCCCACCTGAGTTGGGCACCTGAGAGAGACAGACTCGTACCCCCAAAGGGAGCAATACACCCCCACCTTCAGCATCTGCAGAGACTCTCAGCCAGCAGTGTAAAAGCAGCTGGGTTTATTAGGTGTCTGGAACACAGCATAGAAAGTCCTTGGTTAGCACAGAGAACAGAAGGTTACAGCAGGGTCCATCTTGGTCAACCCAGAGTCCTCTGCTCTGGCCTCTCTTTTGTCCCAGTCCAGGAGAGCCTCCTCTGTCCAGCAGCCCGACATTAAACCCCATCTGGCCCCTCCTCAGTCCTTTGTTCTTGTTCCTCGGCAAACATTGTCACCTGGCCCTCCTCCTTAGTCCTTTGTTCTCCAGCTGGTCACACTCAGCTGACTTCCTGTGGAGGGGTCGACCATCCATGGTCATGAGTTGCCAGGTACCAAATGTCCCGGCAATTGGAGTGGCCATTGTCTTCGCTGACTCTCCATGGACATGGGGCCCAGGCATCAGTCACACCTGGGTATCTGCAGAGAGTGAACAATGTTTTCCCACCACCTAGTTAACAATGTAGCATATAGGGGAAACTGAGGCACACACAACAGTCATACACAATATTACAGAAAATGCCCACTCTGGCACACGGCCGTAATCCCCTGCTGGGCAGTAACCCATTCAGGTGAATGGAACTCTACTGAAACGCTCAAACTGGTGCTGGTGTAACACTGCTAGAACGGCTCAGCTGTATCAGAGACCTTAGCAACTGCAAGAGGAAGCTCTGAACTGGCAGCGTGGTACTCCGAAGCGGCCGTGGTGTGCCGTACCGTGACAAGGGAGTCCCAGCCGGCTATGGATTTGTTACAGTGCAGTACAATAAGCTAGGGGAACTCCCTGCCCTAGAATGTTACCAAGGCAAAGGGGGTAGAGCACTTTTTTTTTTAAATAAAGGATTAGCCACTTACAGGAATAGCATCTTCACTGACGATGCTCTGCAATCCCCAGACAACAGGGCACAAACTGGTCACCAGCTGCGATCAGGAAGCAATGCCCTCTCCCTCCCCGCCCGCAGAATGGACTGTACAATTCACCGCTGCGCTAAGCTTTGTTGTATTGTTCTTTGCCTCCCTCTGCAGCTTCCAATATAGATCAGGCTGTGCTACGGACTGGGTGACAGCCGGCTCCATCACCATATTTGACTTCCCCCGTGGACCACCTCACCAGAGAGGCCCTGGAGATGGAAATCTTCACTCTGAGGGAATCTCCAAAGCTGAAACAAGGCACAGGAGTAATTCAGAGTGCTCCTTCAGGCTGATACAGGAGCAGGATGGGAAATATGGGGGTAGCTGTACCCATGGTTTATTCCAGTACAGTGGTTCCTATGTTGACTATTCAGAAGCCGGCAAAAGATTAGTTGAAAACAGATGGCTCTTAATTGGCAGCCCCAGCTTACTTCCTGTTTTCTGCAGAAACCATTAAATTAAGGTTTAAATCAAACTTCATTCAAGTTAGGGGCTGCATGTAATTATTTAGAAATCTAGATAGACTTAAAAGCTTAGATTAAGGTTCCATTTACTGTAGAGGATGAAAACACGTGACCCTCCCTGTGAGGCCAAATCACTAGAAGAGTTTATGCAATCCGCATTGGAAAGCCGAGTAGTGAGTGCCCCAGCTCGGTTATTCACGGGGTCTCTGCTTGAGGAATGGAGGAAAAAAGATTTGCATAGTACTTTCCCCAGTACCAGACCGGCAGGGAATTGATACTACCTCTTGGGTATCTGTGATGCTGCAGCAAAGAATGACTCTGCTCATGATGGGTGCAAGGGGGGAGGGATAGCTCAGTGGTTTGAGCATTGGCCTGCTAAACCCAAGGTTGTGAGTTCAATCCTTGAGGGGGCCATTTGGGGATTTAGTTAGGAATTGGTCCTGCTTTGAGCAGGGGGTTGGACTAGATACCTCCTGAGGTCCCTTCCAACCCTGACATTCTATGAAAATCATAGGCAATACAGAGCACCCAGACAGCAGAGTAACAGCTGGAATGAGCCTCCTTGCACCTCTGCAGGGGTCACATGGCCAGAGGCCACATAGGAAGGTGGGTAAGGAGTGGACTTCTGGCTCTGCCGCCTCACTCAACGTGATGCTCTGCACAGCAGAGAAGGGGAAGCAGGAACCAGATTATGAGTGAGTCGCTCCTGGCACTGGCCAGCTACAAGAATTCCCCTGCATTGGGCAGAAATGTAGGGGTGCAGTCTAGCCCTATAGAACAAAATCCAGTGACTGGAGTGCTAGGTCCAGAGACAAGTTAGAAAAAACAACTTCGATTTATTTAAGTGCATTTAAATTAAACAGCTCAAGCAGGAGCAGTATTATTCCAGTTGTCTTGGGTTTCACACTAACTGGCGCTGGGCCTGCAAGTAGTGATGGTTTGGGGAATTCCTCTCTGAACTATCAGAGGGTAGCAGTGTTAGTCTGTATCTACAAAAACAACAAGGAGTCCGGTGGCACCTTAAAGACTAACAGATTTATTTGGGTATAAGCTTTCGTGGGTAAAAACCTCACTTCTTCAGATGCATCCTCTCTGAACTGTGGCTGGACTCTTAGAACATAAAACTTCCTTAGTCCCCTAAAGAGACTATTCCCCAGGCTAGTAATACTTGGTATTTATGTAACATTTATCCCCTTCAGAGCATTTTAGAGACACTAATTCATCCTCACAGCTAGGCCAATATCCCTGTTTTATTTGGGGAGAAGCCAGGCGCACCGATCAAGTGCCCTTACCCAAATCCAGAGAGGAAAAAGTGTCAGAGCGGGGATTATAATTTAAGTCCCAGTTCTACACACCCTTGCACCTTGTGTCACTTACACCTGTGTCAGGTGAGCGTGAAAGGCTATCCAATTTGCATGGGGTATAGGTAATTACACAGGAACAAGGCAGTGGTGTATCAGGCCTAAAGTGTTCTTGGTCCCAAACTGTGTGCGCAGAATGCTATCCTGTTCCTTTTCTCTCCAGAGGAGGTAACGTAGAGCAATTATTACAGGGCTGGATTTAGCAATTCCTCCTGAGTTCTAATCCCACTGACTGATTTGCTGTGGGGCCTTGTCCAAAGGTCACTTTATACTACCTCAGTTTTCCCTTCTGTGAAATGGGGATAGTACCTAGGACTATGTGAAAGTTCATCAGAGCCTGTCCAGCAACATGAACATGTCAAGCACAGAAGGGAGGAATCTGCTCAATTGTCTGGAATTCAGGTTCAATTCCTCAGTTTAAGGCCTTTAAAATAATTCCTCTGCCTCACAGGGGTAACATGAGGCTAAACTCCTTTGTGAAGCTCTCATAGTGCAATGATGGAGGCCACTGAAGTAGATATCCGTCTGCTAACAAACTCGTCAGTCTAAGGCAGGGGTTCTCAGAACAGTTGTTTTGGTGGCCTAAGAGTGTGGCCACCAACCCTCACTTCTGGCCGCTCTGAACATTTTTCCAGATCCGAGCCCCGCCACCCTGGGCTGAAGCCCAGAGACGGAGCCCAGGGCCTGAAGTCCGAAGCCTGCTGAGCACACACACTGGCCCCGTGTGTCTGCAGAGGTGCTGCCCAGAGCTCCCAAGAGGCTGCATGGTGCAGGCTGCTGATCTCCTGCTGGCAGTGCCAGCAAACACCAAGGCAGCCAGGAGCAACAGCTGGGTGCTGCAGGGAGGGGCCCTTTGCCCCTCCCTCTATCTCCACCCCGGAGGCTGTTGTGGCTGCAGAAAAATCCCCCGGTGGCCGCATTTGAGAAATGCTGGTCTAAGATCTCCTTGGCTCAGATGGAGCCTTAGTTATTGTGCGCACGCACAACCGCATACAACACACTGTATCACCCAAATAATTCCCTTGGCACAGCTCTCGGGACCCTCTCCTGCACCCCAACCCCCTGCCCCAGTCTGGAGTCCTGTGCCACACCCAAATTCCCTCCTGGAGCCCGTACCCCCCCCCCCAAGCCCCTCAGCCCCAGCCCCACCCCAGAGCCTGCATCCCCAGCTGGAGTCCTCACTCCCCCACACCCCAACCCCCTGCCCCAGCCCAGTGAAAGTGAGTGAGAGCGGGGGAGAGCGAGCGACGGAGGGAACGGGGATGGAGCGAGCAGGGGCGGGGTCTCAGAGAAGGGGCAGGGTAGGGGGAGGGCAGCGGTGTTCAGTTTTGTTTGATTAGAAACACTCACCTGACTGAGGAGAGCTCACCACATTTATGCTCCTCCATAACAGCTACCAGATG